TGGACAGAAGCTTATGGTTCGGGAGCTACGAATTATTTGAGTTGCAAACGAGCCACCCTGAATAACTTTTGGAACAATGATTTTCAGGAAAAATAAAAAAAAACACCTCAACAATAGTACCAGGACACATTTTGACATAATATTCACATCTGATCTAACTTTCCCTTTCGCACCCCCACCATTTTTTTAATGGATCAATTGTTTTGCATTATCAGATGTTCCATGATGAACAGGTTCAAACAAAATAGAAAACATTATGGTCTGAAGCTCATAGTTTGGAAGCTGAAAATTATTTGAGTTGAAAACGAGCCTACCAGGTGAAGTAACAATTGGTGTTTCTTTTTTGGGAATTCTTGAGAAGCAATGGTATATACGCTTTCGAGAACGGATTGAAATAGAGAGTTTGTATTACCAGAATGAAAATAGTGCTAGAGCTGCTGCCCGTATGTTCAATGATAATAATTCAGAAAGAAATGTACGACACAAATACGTTTCGGAATTATTGAACAAATTTATGAAAACTGGATCTTTTAACAATAAAAAGCATAATCTTTCAGGAGTTGTCAACGATGAAGCTAATTGTACTGCAGTTTTAGGGCACGTTGAACTAATGGAAAATTCGCAATCTTTTACTAAGTTATTTCGAGAATCAATCGTACAAATTAATGAATCGAAGAGGTTTTGTATTAAAGTGTATAATATTTTAAAATTCTTGCAAAGCGCTTTCGACTTTCGTCATCATCAGTGCTCACTTGTCAGGCAACAGGAAGTATCAAGATAAGTGAATTGTACATTGTAATATTTAAATTATATAAAACAAAATAGGCTTATAGCCAAGAAAATACATTTTTGGATTCAGGCCATGTGGTTCAGTCAAAGTATCTTATGAAGAAGGACAACTTGAGACAGAATGTGTCAAGTGTCATGTTAAAATAATGGTACCAACTTGAGGAGTGATCCATTATGGGNACAATTTGAGAATTCCAGTATATTTCTTCGACATATATTGTCTTCTCGATCAATGACACGCTACATATTTACCAAAAAATCATTTATTGAATATTCAGTAACCCTAATTTCGTTTTTTTCACAAAACTGGTTCTCTGAGAATTACTGAATTAACAAAGGTGACGAAGTTACTTAAATACGGCGCCACTGAAAGACAGTTGAAATCGAAGCCACCTACTTATTTGAATATCAATAAGCTCAAAGCTGTCATCTCTTATAATACATTCATCTGACTTCAGATTTACGGATAGACTTTTTTTTTAAAAATGAATTAAGTAAAAACTTGCACACCTGATAAATGGAATGTTGATTTATGTATTAATATATCTTGTTTATTTTTCTCAGGTGACTGGATGTTTTCGTTATTTTGACACGTTTCTGTAATTTATCGACAATTCATTAAAATATTGTCTATACTTGATGTGGAATAATATTTCTGCTTACGTATACTTTGAAAATGATATTGCTTTTATTAACGTGTTACCTTGTAATAACTTTCTTTTTTCAGTAAAGGTTATCGACACTGAAGCAGATCATGACGAGTTGAAGCAAAAAATGGAAAACAGATTCATGGAATTCAAAACAGGAAAAATACCCTGAAGTGGGGTAACTTAAACCACCGGAATAACTAAGACCAATTTGAAGACTGACTTTCTCATTTTGAAATTGGCAGTATTGAACATAGTTTTTCAGCAAAAAATATCTCCATATTTAGATGTCATTCTTTGATAGTTAATGATTTTCAAGAGTGAGTAAACATACATTGTTCATTGCTATAATAATTTTATCAATGAACAAGTTAGTTCAGAACTAATCATTTCTTTTGATAAGACCTGCGTATATTCAATAAAAAGCATATCTCGTATGATAATGAAAATTTACCGACTGAAATTTCATTTGTATTATGTTAGATCATTATATACTAGCAGAATTAAGTTTTTCCATCAGTCTTCTTCAACCGTTTCATGGACGAGACATACTTTATAAGAATGGTGGTTTACCTTTTCGAAAATATTCGATACTGAAGACTTTCCAAACATCAAACTCCTAGATAGTCTCCAATACTCTACAGTGTACAATTTCAACTGCCAAACTGTTGGCAAAATTTTCTGTTGAATATTTTCAGGAACTTGAGGAGGCTTTGGCGCACTCCTCATATGTTCTGATTCGCTGAAGTTTCGCTTGATTTTTCTGACATTAGAGTAAGTTCACGATTTTGATGCATTTAATTAAATGATCTACAATTATACTTGAAGCTTTCACCTTTCAAATGAAGGCATTTCCAAAACACAGTTCCAATATAATAATATATTGTATCACTGTACCCTCTGGTTTTTCAAAAATCTTTGAGTATGCATACTTAGAGAGATTAATGAATTTTGTTGAGAGTCATAAAATTATTTCTTCTTCTCAACACGGATTCCAATCTAGAAAATCCACCATAACTGCCATCTCAGCATTCTATGAGAAAATCTTGGAAAGTATCGAATGCGGCGAATGCCCTGTTGGGATATTCTGTGATCTCAGTAGGGCATTTGACTGCGTCGACCACATGATCCTGTTAAAAAAAATGTATTCATACGGCATTAGGGGTAATGCCTTCAATTGGATTGAGTCCTTTACTAAAAACAGAAGACAGTTTGTCTCATTTACCGATCACCAGCGTATATTCAAATCTGGAACTCAAACTCTGGAAATTGGGGTCCCTCAAGGTTCTGTTTTGGCACCTTTATTATTTATATTATATTGTAATGATATGAATACTGCAGTCGCTGAGTATACATGCATTATGTATGCGGATGATACGTCATTATTAGTGTCTGATAAATGCGACATTTCTTTGAAGGAGAAGTGTAACCGGTCACTAAATAATTTAGTTTTATGGTGCAATTCCAATTCTCTGTTTTTTAACTCTGAGAAAACCTTTTCTATTCGATTTCACCATCGACAAAAAACTTGTTCTGACATCAAAANCACGCTCTTTTCACAATAATACTAGTATTATTTGAAAAAAAAAACTATTTTTAACTTTATACTTCGATGTTCTTTAAAAGCGTGTTTTTAGTTTTTCAAACTATATTTATAGACATTATCTAACGTCAAAGGTGAAACAAAAAGGAAAAAGAATTTTTGAACAAAAGCCAATGAAGATTTGAAATTCCATCCTAGAACCTAGTGAGGTGAGACCTCTATATATATTTCAAATACTGTACTGAGAATAGATAGCTTCAAATGATCTTGTTCACGTTAATATGTTAAAGGGCATGTATTATAAAAGGTCGCTTACCCAACATTATCCAGTTTCATCAATATTAATCATACCAAAATATGATCGTCAGTTGACTAACACGTATATAAGTGACAACGACTATTACCATGTTATTATGCGATAAACACAATAAACATCCTGAAATTATGCAGTACCTTGAAATAGTCCTCATCACGACTGAGTGATCAAGAATTGAAAAACTTCAAATTGCATGTGTACCTTCAGCTTTGCATTATTTTTCAGGAAAATTTATTTGACCTTTACTGATGGTCAAAACATGAAAAACTATTGCCATGGAAGTGTCTGTGGGGAAATAACAGGATCTGATAATCAGGGTTTGTGACTTTACCCGTGTAGTTCTTTTGTGAAGTGTATTCCTGTGTCAAGTATTCATTCCTCCACCTGATCCATAATTTCAATTTTGCCCGATCTCTAAAGCAACACTGAAATGTCCAGTGTTTCATTTTTGCCTCACCTATCTTTACAAGAGTATCAAAAATGTATCCAATGCTGATTTGAATTACTCCCTTTATCACCAAACAAGCAAGTGCTGGCATATTGATAGCTGCCTTCAGAGTCTTTTCATCTTTGGCCTCCAAACCAAAGATGCGTATGTTGTCATGGGTTTGACCGCTATTTTTTTTTAGATAAAACACAAGCACTACGGGAAAATCCGCATAGGCACTGCTCTCAGAGCAGTGCCTATGTGAAAGTAGCGATCCACATTGTTTATTCCACATAAACGCAGTTCTCCAGATGAAACAGTTCTTAAACAGTGAAGTTCGAGGTGAATTGAGTTGAACCTCAAAACGATGAGCAGCCAATTCACTGGAACACTTCCCGTGAAGTGATGTTCGCGTCTCCAATCAGGCGGATGGCTCTTTTCTGGATAGAATCCAGCAACTTCAGCGTATGTTTGGAAGCGAAGCTCCATACATGAGAACAATACTCCAAAGAAGGTCTGACAAAGCTTTATAAAGCATCAACAGTTGCTGAGGTGTGTAAAGTTTTCTGATTCGGAACAGTGTTCCAAACTTTTGGGGAGCAGCACACCAATTCAAAATCACTTCTAGATCCTCATTAAGATAGGCAACCACCTGCCACCGGTGAAGATGTGCCTCCGTAGCCGATGCCCTGGAATCCAAATGGAATGATGAGGCCAGTGATGAAAGAAGTGAAATTTTGGAATACAAACGAAATAGAAAAAAGTATCTTTCGTATAACTCAGCGTTCATATAAAAGTATCTGTTTCGAAAGTTTCGAAAGTTTTTTCCAGTTCTCCTGAAAATATATCCTTTCAAACTAATATGTTGTTCTGGACACTAAAATGAAAAATAAATGTAATTGTGTCCAAGTGTGATTGGAATAAAAACAATTACTTTCCAATTCCAAAAACTAGGTTTATTTAAATTTTTACTTTAAAAAGTCTTCAAACTTGAAGTTTAAGTGAAATAAAAAATTGCACAATTCATGTTTGAATCTAGATATATGCAAGATTCTGTTAAAAATCTTTGTAGCTTCATTTTGCTTATAATTTAGTCGTTCACGTTACATGAGATCTCTATGAAATTTTTCACAATATCGCGGTAGATACAATATTTGTTTCAATGAGCATCATATCATGCATTTTACGTTCTGTAATTGCGATTCTCAAGGTAAATTCAACTTCTCCGAAACTCATCATTTGGTTAGGAAAATTTTCATACATTTACAAAATAGTTATCAATTTTCTCCAACAGATGGCGTCTATGGACAAACCGTATCTGGAGTCACAGCCGATGGTAAAACTTACCTTTGCCTACCTACTGGTACGGCATGTCCGACTCTTAGCATGAATATAATCGATCCAAGAATTGTGACCCCAACAGGAGCGGTAAGGAAAATATTTAAATATTTTTCATAAAGTAAACTTGAAGTAAAATTAGCTGTTGGAAATTATCTACCAAAATGTGTCTTTGATTGACGACTTGTTTATTTTATGGAAATTCATGTTCGCTGAGGATACGCTATACAAAAGTGTGTTTTTATAGTTTTTATAGTGTATCCTCAATTACCAAAATGTGTTGTTCCATTGACAAGTTGCCGCCCCCCTTCGGTGGATAACCTTCAGGAGTCGAAACTAATGTAGAAGTGTAAACTAATGATTACCGAGTGATTTCCAGCACAGGTTGGACGATAGGCAGTGACAACAGATCTTCCGGTCGTAGGGCTCAAACCACCGTTCCACATTCTTTTACAAAGCACATCGATTTCTTTCGCAACCATTCTAGAGAATAAGAATAGACCTCAACTAGCCACATTGGCGAAACTATAAAGAAAATATGAAGTACCACACCGGTATGGGAAACTCATCTCTTCCGGGAAAAGAAATGGAATAGCGCTTCCTATCTTTGAATTTGAATAAAACAAAGTGTATGTGAGATATCGTCGAATATTTTAGTTCGTTTGAAAGACTTATTGATGCCATTATGTGTGGAACATAATATTGTTCAAATGTCCGCCACGACTTCTCTGAGTGGAGAGCATTCAAAACATCCAATTTTATATGACTCTGGTGCATGAATCAGGCTGAATGGATTAAAAAATAGTCTCCTTTGTTTCAGTCCTCTAAATAGTGTTGTTTTCCCGTAATTAATTATTAAAAATCGGATTTTCTAGGCCCGTGACGTCACGAGCCTGATTCCGCTTCTTGTTCGATTGTCCAATAGGAACAATACAAATTATGAACATTGCCAAATCGTGAAATTCACGGAGCGTATAAACAGTTTCTGACTCATTCGTGATTCAAAGTAAAATCACACTCACTTCCGACAACTAAATCTAAGAAGAAAGTGTAAGAAATGCATTGGAAGGGAGAGTTAATTATACATGGGATCCAAATAACACAAAACGCAATAAAAACGTTATTTTTGAAATAGGTATCTCCAGCAGTAGACATTTTCATGTTGGTATCACAGAAATTTTAATGATGGTAGTGTATATGAATCCGTTAACTTTAATTTCATGAAAAATTCTCCATATGAAATAAAATATACTCGAAAACCTTGGTTCTAGATAGAATTTTGACGAGCTATATTTTTAACTGGTTCTCGAAGGCTCATGAACCCTAATAAAATAAATCAATTATGCATTCATAGCACCCATCAAAAATAAGAAATTCAACGTTATATATTGGCTATATTGCCACCCAGTCATCTATCTCTCTTGAATGTATGAGATAATGTACTCTTTCTGATGTTTCATAACTTCGTATTTTTGTTAAAATAATTAACACTTGGCAACACCGGTGTAGACACGATGAATTTTATTGGTCAACAGACACGCGGCCAATTTAAACTCTTGCTTCTCTAATTTTTCTTTTTTCTGCGAATATAAAGAGATATTGGGGCCGATTAGGCTCGATAAGTATAATATACCCCTAACTCGATTAGTCTATAAGCAAACCAGGATCATTTTCAATGGCATGACACAAGCCCATTTGACCGATGACATAGGGACCGCTGTGATATGTAGCTTATTGGCATACAACTGCGACTTAAGAAAGCCCCACAAGAAAAAGTCTAACGGGGTAAAATCGCACGATCTAGGTGGCCATTTCACATCACCTCCACGTGAGATTACCATGCCCTCAGATGTGGCATGAGCTGTGTGCCACATAACGCCTTTCTGTTGAAACCACATATCGTTGGTGTCCAAATATTCCAATTCAGGCCAAGAGAAGTTGGTAATGACTGCCTAAAGTGCTCGCCGTTGACACTGATGACCTGGCCAATGTCGTTCCCAAAGAAATATGAACCGATGACGCTACCAGTCCAAAATCCACACCAAATACCGACTTTTTCGCGAAACATTGAACCCCTCTGGATTTCATGTGAATTGGTATCGTTCCAAATTCGACAATTTTGTTTGTTCACGTACCCATTCATACAGAAATGGGCCTCATCTCTAAAGATGATTTGTAGATGAGAGTTATGGTCAACTGCTCCAGAGCCCATTCAGCGAACACACGTTTCTGTCTATGGTCGTTTACCTTCAGTTCCAGGGTCAGTTGCATTTTGTATGGATGCAGGCTCAGGTCACGACGCAAAATTCGCCAAGTTGTGGTCTGCGAAAGGCCGAGTTCGTGTGAGCGACGCGAAATCGACTGCCTCGGATTATCCTGCACACTCTCACAGACAGCGGCGATGTTTTCGGTAGATCTTGCGTTTCGTCGATGTAAGGGTGTTGATCAATCGTTTACTGAACCACTGGACTCAAATTTATCGACCACATTGTGAATAGTCCTCTCGGTAGAACGGTTATGGCGACCGTAAAATGGACGAAGCGCGCGGTACGTTGCCGAACAGAACACCCATTTTGATAAAACAATTGTATTATTTGCACGTGTTGTTGGATGATATATCCGTCTATAGTGATTTAGCAAAACAGAATGAATAAATATCAATTGATTCATCAGATGCAGCTGCAGCAAGATAGAATTTGTCTAAATTCGGAAGTTCCTAAATAACGAAACACCATTAGAGACACTTAACCAAGGGACTATAAGTCAAACCCTGAAATAGAAATTCGAATTTGAATAGGTATCACGACATGATTGTTTTTCTTGTGAATGTGGAAGATATGAACTCGTACACGAAACATTCGGAAGCCTTATTGTACTCATATCAATACTTGGGCGAACTGAACGATTTAACAACTCTTCATTTCAATTCCACAGAGTCCCTTATGCCCAACGGGATTCTTTCCTTGCTATGGTGCAGCCACCCAATGCGGACAAGTATTTTTACCCCCCAACACAACTGCCGACGGCCCCTCCAGTTTCGGTGCCTACCCTTGGCAGGCGTACCTCAGCAACGCAACGAACAATTTTTCAGGAAGCGGTGTCCTATTGGATTCCTTTCATGTTCTCACTGCCGCTCATAAGGTTTACTTGAATTTGTAAGTAGTACATTTTTGCCACAGAAAGTTCGAAATCGGATAACCATATGAAAAATTGCTTGATTTAAAAAAAATATTCAATTGAAGGTGCAGATGGAAATGGACCAATATATGATTAGGGAGAAATGAGCTTTGAAAGAAATATTACGTCAATACAAAAATGTCCAAAACGAAAAAGTATGAATTTTCATTGTGTTAGGGTATCTACCTGTCGAATTTATTGGGTTGTCTGAATTATACAGGGTGTAACTAAATAAGTGTGAAACATTTAAGGAGGTGATTCCTCATCGAAAAAAAGATAGGATCTTTCATATAAAGAAATTTCATTGGAGCATCCCTTGTTAAGATACAGCCCCTTAAAGGGGGTACATAAAACTTGTATAACAATTTTTTTCACAAACACTAAAAAAGTTACAATATTGAAATTACCCTGACGTTTTGTACTACCAAAAAGACACTTAGCCAGAAATTTATTTGGTTTACCCCACGGTTGTGAGGGGTGGAAAACGCAACCCCTAAAATTTATTTCCAATGTAACTTTTTGTCTTATTATTTGTTTACCATTCCGATAGCCTGTTTCATTCTAAACAAAAAATGTCTCTTGGGTTTTTTGCCCAAAATAAACCAGTTCGCAGCAAAAAATTATTTTAGGAACAACTACAGAGATACATCGTCATAAATGCGAAAATACGAAACTAATCTATCTAATAGGTCACTATTAGCGATAGTGACAATTAAATTGGTATGACGCTGTCAGTTTGTGAATTTTCGAAATTGAAATAATACTAATTGTGTGTTGTTGTTCTATTATTAATTTGTTACTTCAATAATTCATTTGTGTATGCAAATGAAAATGGCATACACAAATGAGGAAATCGCTGATATGCATTACGTTTACAGTCTGTCGCAGGGGAATGGGTTAGAAGCTTCTACACGATATGCTGAAATGTATCCTCAACGGCAGCATCCTTCACATAGAATATTTGCTCGACTTCATCAACGATTACGAGAATATGGTTCATTCGACAAAAGAACGCAGGATTGTGGTCGCCATCGAGAAGTATGAACACCACAGCTTGAGGAAGCAGTACTTAATTTGATTGAAGAACAACCTACTACCAGTAATAGAAAGATTGCTTTCCAGCTAAATGTTGATCATATGACGGTATTTCGAATTTTAAAGGAACAACTGTTATACCCTTACAATCTGCAACGAGTACAGGCACTGTTACCGCGAGACTTTCCGAACCGTCTTGAATTTTGCAATTGGAAGCTGGTAATGATTACAAGAAATTAGAAGACGATGGAATTCACAAACGAATGTAGTTTTTCTCGGGACAAGATTTTCAATTTTCATAATTACCACATATGGGCTGTTGAAAACCCTCACGCTATTGTCGAAACTAACCATCAAGAACAGTTTTCTCTTAGTTATTGGGGATGAATTAATTGGGCCTCATTTTCTACCTCTTCGATGTAATGGTGAGGGATACGTTCAATTTTTAAGAGAAGTGCATCCAATACTGCTGGAGGAAGTTCCTTTGGGCGTCAGAAGGGATATGTTTTTTATCCATGATGAGGCTCCCGCCCATTTTAGTCAAGCTGCACGTCAGCATATAACTGAAACATATGCAAATCAGGGGATAGGTCGAGGAGGACCACAGAACTGGCCCGCTCGATCCTCGGATCTCAATCCTGTCGATTTCTCTATTCGGGGCCATTTACAGCATTTGGTTTATCGTACTTCTGTTCGCGATGTAGATGACTTAAGAAACCGCATCATCGATGCGTGCAGGGTAATGGAGAGACTCCAGGAATATTTGAGCGAATACGTGGCTCAATGCGCCTACGTCTAGACGCATGCGTAATGTCTGATGGTAGACATATTGAACATTTACTATAATTTCTACATGTTGTGTGTTTTGTTATTAATAAATCAGTTTTGTTTATTACCCTTTAATCGTTTAATGTAGGTACTAACTACAAAATGACAATAAATCCGGTTCGCATTTATGACGATGTATCTCTGTAGTTGTTCGAACCATCTGCAACGAGTACAGGCACTGTTACCGCGAGACTTTCCGAACCATCTTGAATTTTGCAATTGGAAGCTAGTAATGATTAGAAGAAATTAGAAGACGATAGAATTCACAGACGAATGTAGTTTTTCTCGGGACAAGATTTTTAATTTTCATAATTACCACATATGGGCTGATGAAAACCCTCACGCTATTGTCGAAACTAACCATCAAGAACAGTTTTCTCTCTACGTGTAGCTCGGAGTTATTGGGGATGATTTAATTGGACCTCATTTTCTACCTCCTCGATTAAATGGTGAGAGATACGTTCAATTTTTAAGAGAAGTGCATCCAGTACTGCTGGAGGAAGTTCCTTTGGACGTCAGAAGGGATATGTTTTTTATCCATGATGGGGCTCCCGCCCATTTTAGTCAAGTAGCACGTCAGCATTCAACTGACGAAGGGCGAGAAACCCTGTAAATTTTCTTTGACCATTGTATTGTACCCGATGACAGCAGTTATCTTTTTTCTATTTAATCGTCTTCGTATCTGTTACGGTTTAGAATATAGCAATGTTACCACATGATAAAAAAAAGTCTGTATATGTTACTGAAGATAGGAGATGAAGCAGAACCCTTAGCCATGCCAAATTCTTGTTGATAGAAATCATCTTCATATTGAAAACAGGTTTTGTCTATACCAAATTTTATTGAAAGTTTTAATATAGAACTAATATCCATCTTCGTTCGATGTTTTAAAGTTGAATCATTTTCCAACCTGGATCTTACGATATGAAGAGTTTTATCAACAGGGACATTCGTGAAAAGACTTTCAAAATCGAAGCTCACCAGAACATTATCATTACGTAGAGGAAAAAATATGAGTTTATTTATGAAATGGGTTGTATTTTTCAGAAAACTGTTACTATTTCCTGATATTGGTTTAAATCCCATCAATAGTGGATGATTCACTAGTTTAGTGATTCCCGAAAATATCTGTAAGTTCATAACTCCCCATCGCATTCATTTTCAGGGCAACCCCATCTGCGATAACAGTTTGGCTGGGAGTATGGAATCCGAACAATCGTGTGAACGTCCAAAGAAGTGCTGTTGCAGTAGCAGGAATATGCATACACCCGCAGTTCAATGCGACCACGTTAAGAAATGACATCGCGGTTCTTACACTGGCACAACCTATTGTATTGGGAATTTATTCGAATATAAATACGGTATGTCTGGCTACCACTGGTGCAGCAACTTCTTATGTGGGACAATCGTAAGTTTTCACTTTCCTGAAATATTTTTGGTGCATGTTCATTATTCAGAAACGGTAGTCGACATGAGGGTGGCATAAAAGACAGAAGTTATTCTCAATTTCACAGTTTTTACAGCAGCCTGTTTGAGAAAATATGAATTCAAAAAATCGGGGAAATTCTTATGACTGCCATATAATATATTGATATGCAGTTTGTTAGAAATGTCGTTAATTTCTCTGTCTCAATAAGCTACACAAACACAATCATTCAGTCGTCAAGTAAAGAATGAGATGATTCCACCATTTCTTTTGGTTTTTTGTGTTTTGAATGTTGATGGTACGTTTCAGTGAAGTCTAGTATAAATTAATATCAAAAATTTTGGTACAGTCCGCTCAGATTTAGTACGTTTTCGAGAAAAATATCTTCTATAAATTGAAAGGAATATATTTTTAGAAAAAGAAAGATTTTGGTTTTCTACTTCTCCATCTTTGTACAAAAAAAATGCTACCGTCTGCGCGTAGATATTTCCAACAAATCAATATAGGTATTTCATTAGAAACTAATTGAATAAAAAAAAACGCAAAATTTCGAAAATACACTGGACACCAAAAAATGTATTTGTAAAACTCACAAGTCTACCCCAACTCCGGACAATGTTTCAGATGTCATTAACTTCACAAAAATATTTTTGAAATGTATATATGGCTTCAAGTAGTTACTTCTTTCTTTTACGCTGAACAATAGATATTCATTAAAAATATTCGACTAGATTTCAAAAAATAAAACTAACTGAATCAGTATTAATAATCTTGAGAAACACGTGTTGCAAAACACGCGTTGCAGTTGTTACGATTTTGGAAAGTGTCCAGTGGAAATCTCATTAAAAAGTGATATCTCAATACTTTGAAGACTCTCATCAAGCATCAGCCAATTTCATCATATATCAGATTATCTTTGCTTTTCAATAGTCCCATCATATTTTTCATATTTTCATAAGTTGGTTATAATTTCCACCTCATATTGGCGATTTCTGTAATTTTCGAGTAATATTTCTAATTCCCTAGAAATTCTGGAGTAATATGTCTAACTCCCTTGTAATTCTCAAGTAATACCTCTAATTTCCAAGTAATTCCTATAACTCCCTAGTAATTTCCCAGTAATACCTCTTAATTCCTAAAAATGTTCTCCAACTCCCGAATAATTTCCTTGTAATTCTGTAGCGATACCTCTAATTGCCAAGTAATTCCCCTAGTTCCCGAATGATTTTCTAGTTATACCCATAATTTCCAAGTTATTCATTTAACTCCAGAGTAATTTCCTAGTAATACCTCCTAATTCCTAAAAGTTTGTGTTAACTCCCGCAAAAATTTTTAGTAAAACCTTTAATTTCCTCATAATTCCAGGAAAACACCTCTAATTCCCTTGAAAGACCATAGTAATACGTCTAATATCCAAGTAATACCTCTAATTCTCGAGTAATTTCCTAGTATTACCTCTAATTTTCTGGTATAACCTCTAGTTCCCAAGTAATTTCCTAGTATTACCTCTAATTTCTTGGTATTACCTCTAGTCCCCGAGTAATTTCTAGTATTACCTCTAATTTCCTGGTATTACCTCTAGTTCCCAAGTAATTTCCTAGCATTACTTCTAATTACCTGGTATCACCTTTAGTTTCCAAGTAATTTCTCTAACTCGAGTAATTTTTTAGTAATACCTCTAATTTCCAAGTAATTCCCCTAGTTCCGGAGTAATTTCCCAGTAATGCATTCAATTTCCAAGTAATTTCTGTAATTCATGGGATCTCTTCACTAAAAAACCCCTGCGACTTTCCCCTCGGAGAAACATAGTTAGGCAGATATAACTGGGCTGTCCTCATTATAGAATTTTGTCCCAATGTTTCACAACATTGCAAAAGAAGGTCTTTGGGTTCACAACAAATTCAAAATGAAATAAAAGTGAAGAAAGCTTATCCTCAATATAAATTCAATAGTAAAAAGTCTGACAAAACATTTGAATAATTGAAAAACCTCACAAATTTCGATGAAATTGATAATATTTTATTGAATATTTTCTTACCCTTAATATTAACTATCTGAATAATATTTCTTCTAATAGGAAAGAAGGGGTTATAATGTTTCAGAAATGGACAGTATTCCAGTTTCTGAATCAATAAGTTATGACACAGTCAAAGACCTTATTAAAATATAGAAAACACAATTTACTTAAATTAAAATCTATTTTTCGCTCTTCTTTCTGTTCTTTCATTGCAAACTTGATAAAAAGGAAGCAGACACCACAGTTTGGTTTTAAAATAACGCACACTGCCAGGAAGTATTCCTTTTCATATTTCCTGAAAGAACGTTTCCTGCAAGTAGCCGTCGATGGATATCTCTTGAAAACTTTCTCCAATGCTGGTGTTCCCCAGAGATCCATATTGTCTCCAACATTGTCTCCTCATTACATTTGGATTCCAGAAAATCGGCTGCGGATGCACATCTTCAGTCAGCAGGAGGTTGCATATCTTAATGAGGATCTAGAAGTAATTTCAAAGTGTGGTGAAAGTAACCATGTTCAATTCAATGCCACAAAAACCCAGGCATCGGTTTTCTCCAAAAAGATAAATGTCTCCGGACCGGATATAATAATGTCAGGTCAGATAATTTCGCTTTCTGCTTCGATAAGTTTGTTGGGGGTCAAAATGGACACCAATATGTATTGGCACAATCATGTCGCTGGAATTGCAAAGGCTGCTTCTCAAAAGCTTAGGACAAAGTTCCGAACCAGAAAACTGTACACACCTCAGCAACTTCTGATGCTTTATAAAGCTCAGATCAGACCTTCATTGGAGTATTGATCTCATGTATGGAGCTCTGCCCCCAAACATACCGTGAAGCTACTGGATTCCATCCAGAAAAGAGCCATCCGCTTAATTCGAGACGCGAACTTCACTTGCAAGCTTGATAGTTTTAACGGTTTGAATTTCTGAATTCAGAAGAATCAGTAGAGCCGCCGCGTTATTTTATGAGAATATTGCTTGGATGGTGGGTTGTCTAGTAAGCAGGGGTAAATAAAACCGAGGAAATTTTCATGGTCAGGATTTAAAAACGATTCAGATTAGTATATATCGTAAAGTCAACACGAAAGCAAGGTTCAAGCTAGAGACTGTCTGAAACCTTAAAAAAACATCTAAGGTCAGTCAAATTAGTCAATTCAATATTTTCATTTCCTATTTTTGAAATATCGGTAGAGAATTCCATAACATATGTTTTCAGGTTTTTTAGACAAGAATAATAAGATCACCTGTGAAAGATTCACGTCGAGCACTGTCCAACCTTTTATTCGTTTTTTTGGTGGTAAAAGAAAAGCTTTCAATGCATATTTATCTGATATATAATTGGAGAAATCCTTCGGAAAAGCTATAGTTGCATCATACTCGTCGTTCTTTGAGATACAAAGACACATTCTAGAAAGTAGCAACGGAAAATCGTAGCAAGTATAAAAAAATATCAACAATGATGATACCCCGTGAGAAGAAGCCCTGATATTTATGATATATTTTGGAGCGGTCTGATTATTGAAATCTACAGTTCACTCCATAAAATTAGAGGATAGTTTGAGTTTTTACCTTTTCTCTGTGTACCTAAGACAGCTGTTGACGGGGTTAATTAGTAATTATCGAGTTTGATTGTAGTTAATCGAAAAGTAGAAAAGTAGATTCTGGATAAATTAAGATTCAAGCAGTTACTTTTAACTACTCATTTGTTCCCTCAATTTCAATTTATGTGGTGATCTATCGGTGTCAGTTCAATACTCAAATATTTTGATTCCGTGATATTGATATTATTCCGTGATAAAGAGTTCCCCAGGAGTAATATCGTGATCAAATCGGCCTATAGCGGCGTATTAGTATCTTTACTAGAAACGTTTGTTTTAGTATCAAGTATTGGTTCTTTAAACTTGATATATGTATATTTGCCTGCTTTTTTCTACATTAGTTCGTTGCAAATAACATATGAAAATGTTTGTAAATATTTCTTTCTAATATCAATTTGATGTAAATTTCAAGCTTGGAGCTTCGTTGTTGACTTTTTGGGTATTTCTCCACCCCTTCCTTATTGAATCCGTTCAACTGGCGCCCCGGGGCTTACTTTTTTCCATCTAATTATAAAAAAAACATATTTTCCTTACCCACGTCCAGCCCCAACAATAATCGACTAGCCTGGGCCAAACTACTTTTTGGTAATTACATAAATACCAAGATAGGTTAAATAGTATGAAACATCGAAGAATGTTGTAGATTTGTCCCTCTTCTATATATACTTTCACGGGTGATGTTTCGCGTATTTCTGATATATACCGTTCTCCAAGAACGGTATTTATCAGAAATACGCGATGGACTGTAGCTGCTCATGGTTTTAAGATTCAACTCAGTACACCTCGAACTTCACTGTTTGAGAACTCTTGCATTTGGAGACCTGCGTTAATGTGGAATAAACTTCCTGAGCAAGTTTTTCGAAATAGATTTAGTCTCCAGCGATTCAAATTCAATGTTAACTACTAGTTTCGTACAGGCACAGCTCTAAGAGGGCCTTAAGGATTTACCTGTAGTGCTTGTGTTTAATCCATTAAAAAAACAAAAAAATATCAATAATTCTCGCAAAGAAAAGAAGTAAACTCAGTTCCTCGTTACACTCATCACAATAAAATATTGAAATATTTTAAATGGACAGGTGCAGGGTTTCCGGATGGGGCCAAACGAGTTTCACAACCTTTGACGCCCCAACCAATCCTCAGAAGCAAGTAACAGTCTCAATAGTGTCTTACGAAACGTGCCGAGCGTCGATGGCAACTCTTCTTGGCAACAATGTTGACATCTATCTTGATCCTATGGGAGAAATTTGTGCAGGAGGGGTCTCCATGATTGATGCTTGTACGGTGAGTAGAGAGGAGACTTCTCTCAAATTTAAGGTTTTGTGTGTTTTGTGAAGAAGTAGAAATTTGACCAAAGCATCGTTCGAAATTATTTGATATACATATCATTCGGTGCCGGTTTTGGGATCATATTCCTATATCTTTTTTTAGAGAGATAATAGAACTTAGAGAAAAAAAATAATATGCAAAACATATATGCTACGAACAGTATTTCGAACACGATTTTTCACAAAATATTTTTAACTTTAATTTCAGTAATTTTAAAATTATCCGTTTCAATTATTTATTGATGTATTTTCTAGTATTTTATGAAAGAAAAAAATTAATGTGGACCTATCAGGTCCATGACTTTGACCGTAACCATTTCGGATCATTATTTTTTTCAAAATGGTTTATTCAACTGCAGGTATTCTGCAGGTAAACTGCAGTTTATTATGGAAATAGTAGGTGCACTAATGCTACAGCACAGTTGTTCAATGACCAAAATCTGAATAAGCTTTTCAACCGACAGTACGTTATTGAATTCGTAACCATATTCAGAGAAACATGATCGGTGGGAAATCGAAGAAGGAATCCCCAAATGAAATAATGGAAAACGAAGATATCGAAGTTGCTGTGTAGGACCACAACAGTTCCATCCCCAGTCAGATTTAAGCAATTATCTACAGTTTCGTACAAGTATTCAAAAAATTCTTCAATCCCATAAATTTTACCCCTATTAAATTATGTGAGAATTGATTGAAGATGACTTCGACAGAAGTTTAGAATTTTGCGAGTTCATGAATGAACAGATAATAAATGAGTCGTTTAACATTTTGTTTCTCAGATAAATTTCATTTTTTTATGAACTGGACTGTTTACCTTCAGAACTGTTGTTATTGCTCTAATGAAAACCCACACCTAATCGGTGAAGTTCATAATGAGAAGCTGAATGTATAGACTGGATTCTAGGACGGCCGAGTTTATGGTCGTTTTTTCTACCAAGAAATCTTGGAGGAAAACTGTACATTGTCACAAGACACTGTTGATCCCACACCAACAGACAGTCTTGAACAAAATGGCATTCAAAATGAATTGACATTTTAACAATATGGGACACCTCCTCACTATACCCATGCTTTTTATCAGTATTTAAATGAAACCTTCACTGGTAGGTGGTTCAGTGAAGTGACCCGCAAAGTCATCAGATTTGAATCTGTCAGATATTTTTTGTCAACGGATTATTGATAACTGTTGCAGCATTACACCTGAAATGCTTCGGAACGTCCAAGAATGCTTTGAACAAAAACGTTTTCATTGTATGGAAACATTTCCAGCTTAGCACCAATGGTGAGGGTCTTTTCAGGTCGAAACATCGGTGTCTGGTGTTCGACCATAAGCTCATCTAGTTAATTCACAGTGAAAGACGAAAACGAATTTTCATTCAAAATATTTATTTTCATAATCGAATATGAATAAATATAATTTGAAAACCTAAAAAACACGCTTTTAAATAACATCGAACAAGAAAGTTACATTTTTTTTAAATATAGCTTAGCCGGACTTGTGATTTGGGGTAAAAACTGCGGACAACCTGGAGTATACGGGGTCTATGTTAATGTGCCATTTTATTATACTTGGATACAAGGTATCCTAACTTCGACAGCTAGGAACTGCTGGGCGGGTTAGTGTAGATTTTATTGAAAAGAATATAGGTCATACAGGAAGTGGTAATCTCTTTATAAAAAAGTAAGATCATAATGGAACATGCGGATGATTTTCTAGTGCCTTAACATTTATTGAATGAAACCCATTTGAGAGATTTTGGAAACTAATGAAAAATTATACGGGGTGGATCTTCTTGATAAGTGAGTGAACATTATTTTATATGGTAATTAAAATTACTCTGACAATATTTGTTTCTTTTCTCTTCAATACCAACTGAATGGGTGACAATTGTTATGATAGCAATGGCAGTTTGACAGTTTTGTATCTACGGATACTGCTTTAATTCGGGACTGAAATATAATTGTATCGTGAAGACAAAATATTTTTTTGAAGTCAAAACACAAGCGCCACAGAAAAATCCTAAGGCACTTCAAAAGCGGTATCTGTGCGAAAGTAGCGTTGTATTTCAATCGCTGGAGATTAAATTTATTTGGAAAAACGTTATCAGGAAGTTTATTCCATATAAACGCAGTTCTCCAAATGAAAGAGTTCTTAAACATTGAAGTTCGAAGTGTACTGACTTCAACTTCAAAACAATGAGCAGCTATAGTCTCCAGTATTTCTGATGTGTACCGCTCTTGGTGGAATAAAATGTGCCAAGTCACTTGAACACCTCCAGTGAAAGCATCTATAAAAGAGAGACAAATCTCCAACCTTTCTTCGGAGTTCCAGACTATCAAGGTTGCAAGTGATGTCCGTGTCCCCATTCAGGAGGATGGCACTTTTCTGGATGGAATCCAGCAGCTTCAGGGTATGCTTAGGGGCGAAGCTTTATACATGAGAACAATACTCCAAAGAAGATCTGAACTGAGCTTTATAAAGCATCAAAAGTTGCTGAGGTATGTACAGTGTCCTGGTACAGAACAGTATTCCAAGCTTTTGAGGAGCAGCCTGAAATTGATGTGAATACGCGTTTTTTAGCTCCACGAGACGGAACTCATTAGCATTCGTGATAAAAAAGTGCCCTTTTTGAAAGAAAATCAGAATTTTTTTCGTTATCTGATATACAGAGTGTACGAAAAGACTTGGCACGTAAGAGCTAATATCTCCGAAATTTTTGCAGTTACATTTTTACAAAGAGCCCCACCTCTTAACGCATCTACAACTTATTCGACCTTGCAGAAGCAGCACCAGAAGGCATTTTGATGACCCAGAAGATGCAATGATGTGTGTAGGTTCTGCAAGTTTGTTGAATACCTGCTGTGAACAGCAATGTTACCCAAAACTCGGATGTGAATGCTCCTCGGTTTTAACGGATGGGCCAAAAACCCTTGTCTTTAGATTCAGTATCAATTTGCTTCTCCTCGAGTGCGTCGAGTGCAAAAATATCAGTTTGGTGTTAGGGTAATTGATCTCTAGAAAAAGTTTTCAAAAATCGGTTTGCAAAACCACTCACTACCTCACTACCCCACGAACACACGGCACTGATAAAGAAATATTGCGAAACGGACAAAAAATTAGTATTCAGCCAGTCCAGCTAGCTGAGCCTTTATTCCTCAACTACATTTTATAGCACGTTTACTAACTATCTGGACGACTAGGGGCCACAGGCAAGAAATGTTTATGACTGTACTCTTATTTTTATTGCCGTTCCCATTGGGAATGGATAGACTATACTCATACATTTGTGAGTTAATCTGATAAGAGTGACACTACTTTTGTTATTTTCAAAACAATGGATCAAAAACAATTTTTTTTTAATTCTATACTGCTTCTTGTGGGAGAATATACCGATCAACAGAAGCAATGGCTTGAAAAGTATTATAAGGACTCCACTCCTTCAGAAACAACAATCAACCGTTGGTTTGCTGACTTCAAACATGGTCGTAGAAACACCGATGATGCAGAACGCAGTGGCGCCGAAGAAATATCTGGCGATGACCAGGAAAAATATGCGCTTAACAGTAGGATTTCTGACTGGCCACTGTCAACTAAGGAACCACCTCCACACTATTGGGCAAGTGGATACACCTCTATGCAGGATGTGTGAACAGGAAGATGACTGTCAGACATGTCCTATGGAAATGTCCTGAGTTATCGGCAATAAGAGAGTGTGTGTTCGGCGAGTCTTGGCCTACACCTGCCAATATAAAGGAGAAGTCCCCCTATTGACCTGTTCACCTTCCTGGAAAGGACAGGACGGACGATGACCTAGGAGGACAACTCCTCGGGAGGATGTACAATGGGTCACATGTGGCCTAAGTGCTGTGAGTCTACTCTCACCCTCCCTACTCTACAGATTTAGAGAACATCGATGATGCAGAACGCAGTGGACGTCCAACTGAGGCAGTAACACCAGAAAACATAAAAAATCCACAAAATAGTTTTGAGTTATCGAAAAATAAAGTTGCGAGAGTTGGCTGACATCAAAAGAACATGTTGGATTTATGTTGCATGAGCATTTGACTATGAGAAAGCTCTGTTCAAAGTGGGTGCCGCGCGAGATCACTGTTGACCAAAAACAATAACGTCTTGATGATTCTGAGCAGTGTTTGGCCATGTTTAAACATAACAAACCAGGTTGTTTGCGTCGATATGCGACAATGGATGAAACATGGATCCATCACTTCACTCCGGAATCAAAACTATCGTCATCTGAGTAAAGATCAACTGGCGAATCACGTCCGAAGCGCCCGAATAAAACACAACAGTCGGCTGGGAAGGTTATGGCCTCGATATTCTTCGATGTGCGTGGTGTAATATTCATCGACTATCTTGAGAAGGCAAATCACATCCTCAAATATTATACAGCATTTTTGGGGCGTTTGGAGGCCCAAATTACGGAAAAACGACCTCATTTGAAGAAAAAGAAGGTTGTATTTTATCACAGTGTCACAAAACAATGAAAACGAAGGTAAAATTGCATAACGTGAGCTTTCAATTGCTCCCGTATATACCCTATTCGCCAGATTTGGCTCCTAGCGACTACTGGATGTTCACAGACTTCAAAAACATGCTCGCTCGAATGAAGAGGTTATTGCTGATACTGAAGTCTACTTTGAAGCAAAAGACAAATCGTTCTATAAAAGCGCTACTGAAATGTCACAGCGGCGATGGAATGATTGTGTGACTCTCGTTGGAGATTACCTTGATGAATGAAGCCAATTTTTACAAAAAAAAAACATTTTCTTTATGAAATCCGGGACTTTCCAGCCCAGGTGTTACAAAACGTGACATTAAAAATCTCTTTAATTCGGAAACGGATCATCGTACAGACCTCAAATTTCTGCAGAAATAGTATTTCTTGAATACCTTTAAAATGAGCTGCATATTCAAGATTACTGTAGGTTGAATGGAACCTTCCGTCCAAAACCATTCGTAAGAAGACTAAAGTGGATGATGATGACAATGGTATAACAGTTTTGGGATACTTTCATGCATTTCCTAATGCTTCTTTGCACGAGGCTGAAAGGGAGATAGGTATACCCTACGTGACAATTTGTCGAATTCCTAATAAGCATAAATGGCATCCCTATAAGTTCTACTGTTGTCTACTTTCAATATTGACTGTATGACTGAAGCTAAGAACTTTTTGTCCTAGAACCAACTTCGAATAATCGATTCCTGCAAAGTAAATTGAAAAATATCGAAACACTTCTTTAGGAACTATGAAAAAAACGTGTTTTCGTGTGACGAAGAATGTGACATTCCTTATTAAAAGTTATACCGTTCATTAATGATGATGATGATGAAGGAGGGGAGAGTTGGCATTAAAATGTATTCTATTTGCCATAGAAATAAAGTATTAGTTTTCAACACCGGAAGATATGACATTCCTAACTAAAAGTTACACTATTCATCAATGATGATGATTATAAAGTAGGGGAGAGTTGGTATTAGAATGTATTCTATTTGCCACAGAAATAAAGTATTAATTTTCAACACTGGAAGATGTGAAATTCCTACCTAAAAGTTATGCCATTCATTAATGATGATGATGATGAAGAAAGGTGGGAATTGGCATTAGAATGTATTCTATTTAATACAGAAATAAAGTATTAGTTTTCAACACCGGAAGATGTGACATTTCTACCTGAAAGTTATGCCATTCATTAATGATGATGATGAAGAAAGGTGGGAATTGGCATTAGAATGTATTCTATTTGCCACAGAAATAAAGTATTAGTTTCCAACACTGGAGGAGGTGACATTTTTTCCTAAAAATTATGCCATTCACTGATGATGATGATGATGAAGGAGGGGGGATTTGACATAAGAATGTATTCTATTTGCCACAGAAATAAAAGTATTAGTTTCCAACACCGGAAGATGATACATTCCTACCTGAAATTTATGCCATTCACTAATGATGATGATGATGATGATGATGAAGATGAAGAAAGGTGGAAAATGTCATTAGAATGTATTCTATTTGCCACAGAAATATAGCATTAGTTTTCAACACCAGAAGATGTGACATTTCTACCTAAAAGTTATGCCATTCATCAATGATGATGAAGGAGGGGAGAGTTGGCATTGGAATGTATTCTATTTGCCACAGAAATAAAGTATTAGTTTCCAACACCGGAAGATGTGACATTCCTGCCTAAAAGTTATGCCATTCATTAATGATGATGATGATGATGAAGAAACGTGGGAATTGGCATTAGAATGTATTCTATTTGCCATAGAAATAAAGTATTAGTTTTCAACACCGGAAGATGTGACATTCCTACCTAAAAGTTATGCCATTCATTAATGATGATGAAGAAAGGTGGGAATTGGCAGTAGAATGTATTCTATTTGCCACAGAAATAAAAGTATTAGTTTCCATAGCCGGAAGATGGTGACATTCCTTCCGAAAAGTTATGCCATTCAATAATGATGATGAACGAGGGTGGAGTTTTCATAAGAATGTATTTTATTTGCCACAGATATAGAGTATTAGTTTCCAACACCGGATGATGTGATATTTCTTCCTAAGTTATGCCATTCATTAATGATGATGATGATGATGATGAAGAAGGGAGGAGGTTGGCATTAACATGTATTCTATTTGCCACAGAAATTTGAAATGGGCATACATTGTCCTATATTTTTAATTTACATGTATCTGTGATGATAGACTAACGATATCAATGGGAAACTTATTTTAACAGCTCGACACGTGTTTCGATCACCAAGTGATCATCTTCAAGATGAAGATCAAACTGTTTGATCTTACTACACCAAAGGTTCCAAACAGGG